TCGACGTACCCACCCGAGGTGATAACACCCTGGACCTGGTGATGTCTGATTTCCCTTCACCAGCAACTGTTAAGGCACACCCGCCTATTGGACTCTCTGATCATGCTGTCCTCCAAGTTGACTTTCCTGTGAAGCTCACCCGTGAGCCCAAGACATCGCGTAGAGTCTGGCGATACCACCGCGCAGACTGGGAGCGGCTTGCCCACTTCTACCGAACAACAGACTGGGAGAGCATGCTCGGACCTGAACCGGATCTCAGCTGCGACAACATCACCAAGAGGATCCTCGAAGGAATGGCACAATTCATACCCAACAGAGTTATCTCATCGCGCCCCTCCGACGAACCTTGGTGGACACCGGAGTGTACAGCTGCAGTCAACACCAAGCGACAGATGTGGCACCAGATGCGCTCAAATCCCGACAGTGCTGATAAGAAAGCACACTACCGCACAGCTGCAGCCTCTGCACGCAGTACCATCCAGCGAAACAGAGAACGGCATATTACCATGCTCCGGCAGAAACTCACCACTGGTAGCCTTCGGGACAAGGAATGGTGGTCCACTATCAAGCGTGCGGGTGGCAAGGGCCGCAGCGCTGATATACCAACACTCCGATCTGCTGATGGAACTGAGTACACAACCAGTCAGGAGAAGGCCAAGTGCCTTGGTCAGTACTTCGCCGATAAGTGCAGCCTCGGCCCACAGGACTTCAATGAGGAATCTGAATTCCCCTTTGTCCAGCCTCGCTCCCAAAGCCGTCTCCTAAGTATTCGCTTCCGCCCTGCTGAGGTCTGTAAATTGCTGAGGGCCCTTGATCCTTCGAAAGCGTCAGGCCCTGATGCAGTTCCGGGCAGAGTCCTCAAAGCCAACGCTGAGCACCTTGCAGTGCCACTATGCTTGCTCTTCCGCCAGTGCATGACGTCGGGGACACAACCACAGTCTTGGAAAGTGGCAAGTGTCGTCCCAGTCCATAAGAAACGGTCAAAGTCAGCCCCATCGAACTATCGGCCCATTTCCCTCCTGTCGCTCATCTCCAAGACAATGGAAGCAGTTGTCAACCGTGCTCTCACCAACTTTCTCGAACGAAATAATATACTCTCAAACCACCAGTTCGGTTTTCGTCGAGGGTTAGGACCTGCTGATCTCCTAAGGGCCCGGTCACACATGCACTCGAAAGTAGCGTATACGCTGAAGCGAGGTCGCAGGAGCGAAAAATGGCATGGCAACGGCGAAAAGCGGAACTTCCGCTTCAGCGGAAACTCCAATCCGCTTCCTCCAAATTTTTCGAAGCGAGACTGTCGCTTCTGCGGATTCGCTTCAGCGGAAAACACCATGGTCTGCTGTATATGGACTTGCTACGAGAAATTTGTATGCGTATGATGTCTATGCAACAAAAATGCGTGCAAGATAGTCATTCACCTCGTCTATTCTCCGTACCGTATGCACCACAGTCTCATGTTCCGCCAAAGTAGAGTTGTGCCCTGTTTGTATGTGTGACCACACACACGTGGTTTCGCTGGAGCGACACCAGGCTCGCTGCCGCCGAATCTCGTCGCCGAAGCGAATCCCAGTGCATGTGTGACCGGGCCCTTACAGGACTACACCACCAATGGAGCAAGATAGCAGCTGCTGGCGGTGCTGTACGTATTGTTGCCGTCGACATTGCGGGGGCCTTCGATAAAGTCTCCCACGCAGGTGTCCTTCACAAGGCAAAGGCTTACGGAGTGTCCGGGAACCTCCTCAAGTGGCTCCACAGCTACCTGGCGGATAGACGAATCCAGGCCGTTGTGAGTGGACAAACCTCACCTAAATTCCGAATCAGCTCAGGTGTGCCGCAAGGGAGCATACTGGGCCCCACTCTGTTCCTCCTATATGTCAATGACATGGAGGACCACCTCCCAGCCACAACCCAGCTCGCCATATATGCAGATGACACCACGCTTTATCAGTGCATCCCATCCCTGACCGCTCTCCCAGTTGGCCTAGCGCACCTCCAGACTGCTGTGGATGCCTTAGCTGAATGGGGCCAGAGCTGGAAGATCGCATTCGAGCCGACAAAGTCGCAAGTCTTGACAATTTCGCATCACCGTCAACCCTGGCCGATTCCTCCAGCCACTTTCAATGGGGTGGCCATAGAGGAAGTGGAGGAGCTGAAGTTGCTCGGAGTGCTCTTTGATCGGAGCCTCTCCTTTCGCTCCCACATTCGACAGGTTGCAGTCCGTGGTCACCAACGTCTTGGCTTCATGAGGAAGGCCCTGCCCATTCTCGACAGCAAGGCCAAGTATGCAGTGTATCGCGGCTTCGTCCGCCCAGTACTTGAGTACTGCCCGCTTTCATGGTTGGGTGCGTCCCAGTCTACCCTGAACCAGCTGGACCGGGTACAGCACCGAGCCCTAAAGCTCATCGGCCCAGGGTCATACCTCCCAAGCCTCACTGTTCGGCGTCAAGTCGCAGCACTCACATTCCTGTACAAGCTGCATTGGATCGACGGTCCCCCAATCCTGACCACCATGACACCACCGAGGGCAGTTGCAAACCAGCACCGGCGCTCCACTCGCCACCAGCAAAAGAACCAGCACCAGCACCAACTAGCACCGACACTGCCCGCCGGAGCCCGTAATAGTGCTCTCCGATCATTCCCCCATGCCACGATCCAAGACTGGAATCGTCTCCCATCTGCCCTGCTACGCAACCTTCCCACGCAGAAGGGAATGCAGGCATTCAAGGAAGGCGCCTACAAGTCGCTCCGCAGCCGAGACTGGCGTTCAGCCACAGATGCCCTCTGAACACTCCCTGAACACCCTCTCTGCTTGCACCCTGGCTCCCCCCCTTTTTTATTTATTTATTTTTTTATTATTTTATTTATTTATTTTTTTTATTTTTTATTTTCTTCCTCTATCACATGTATCATCTTTCCGTTTTTCCTTCCTCTATATAAATGTACCCCAACCCCTCCCCTCCCCCTGTGCCTACCCCTCCCCAGTTTTTGGTGCTCTGAAGTGTCGCTGAAGCCGAGACCTCAGGTCGGCGGAGATGCTCCAGTTTTCACCACCACAGTTGCGTCTGCAACCACCTCTACCATGCAGTATTCTGTTCTCGAGGTTCGTGGTTTCTCGTAAAAAAAAAAAAAAAAAAAAAAAAAAAAAAAAATACTGTAGCATACTCAGCTGGCACATAAACTGAAGATGACACGGAAACGTTGTTTTTGTTCATTTATCTGTTTAATTTTGGCCAGTCGGCTATTATCACTGACTGGCTGCAACGTTTATCTAATAGAGCCTTTCTTCTCACCACCACCACCACCATACATCGACTAGGCGCTAGGCGCGAACTGATGGTGGTGGTGGTGGTGAGAAAGAGAGCTCTGTGCCAGAATAAGGTTGCAGCCTTGAGAGCGTGTGTGGGCAGGCATGTGTTTACCGCCATATTGCCTGGTGGGTCTTTATCACCATACTAATCAACCATAAGTACAGCTGCAGTGGTGTCTTCAGCTTCATTCTAGCTATTGTATTTGTAACATTTTAGTTAGCTAGCAGTTGCGCAGACAGTAACATAGCTGGTACAGGAGTACAGAATTTCGGGGAATCACCCTCGCTACAAATCAACCCATGTCTTTTTTATGGTTTGCAGTCCTTGGCCTTTAGTTTACCATGTTTACTACTTGGCCTTGGCTTGGGACAGACAGTAACATCAAACCACAACTCCCTGCCTGGACCATGTGGACTGAGTCTGTTATTGTGGGCTAGGCCTTGACGGATTATGCTAATATTTTCGTGAAATTATGCTTTTCGCATTGCTGAAAAAATTGCAGAATTATGCTATTTTTAATTTTTTTATGCTAAAAGTTATCATAATGCCGCATTATGCTCACATATGCTGCTAATGTATATGATGGTTCTGTGCAAAATAACAGGGTTTTTTTTATAGGGCGTTGTAGTTGTACTGTAGTAGCAAAAGTTCAACGGGGTCAACGCACCGTCCGACCTACAATTGTAACTACGACCATCACTGATTGTAATGGACTGGACATGTTATCAAGGGAGTCGTAAACCTACGACTTCCTGGTGTATCTACTTATACTTGTAGAACATGTACAACTCTATGGAATTTGGTGCGAACAGGCGGATTATTCCATTATTTATGCGATTCGTATGCAATTTGCCTCCAATTATCCGATTATTCGATTTTGGTAGGAATTATGCGAAAAATTATGCTAGCATAATCCGTCAAGGCCTATTGTGGGCATCATGACTCCACGTATCTAATATTGACTGAGTACGAGGTCAATATGGAAATAAAAGCCGAGTAAAAGACCTCGGCTTCGCCTCGGTCTTTTACGAGGTTTTTATTTCCTACCAAGGACGAAGTCAATATTAGATTTATCACGACAAACAGTCCGTATTTCAAATTCCAGAACGATAACGTCATGAATCTCGGTTTTATGATTGCACAACACTACTAGTACTACTACTAGGCACAGTTCAACTGCGCAACCCCTAATAATATGCAAGAATATTTTGACTGCTTCAATACAATAGGTATAGCGAAAATCAATGGGAGTCATCAGTACTGATAGTACTAAAGTAACAGTACTAACACCAGTTTTCCTGCACAGCAGCCCTCGAGGCCTCTGACACCGGGCTCTGAGTCTGATACCGGAGCAGCCAAAGCATCGGGCTGCTGTGTGGTACTTAGCAGGGAGTAGTAAATAATATACTACTCCCTGGTACTTAGTAACTACAGCCTACACAGGCACAGGCCTTGATTGACAGCTACATAGACACTCTCCAGAATGGCGAGATCTCACGAGGGGATCATGATTATGTTCTTCGCAGCGTGTGCCAGCCAGTGTCAGACACTCACCAACTGTATGACTAGTAATGACTGTACTATGTATGTAGTAGACCACACCAATCCATAGTATTACTATCCAAAAATAATGCTAGGCCACTCAGAAAACGAAACTAGTGTAAAGACTGTTCAAATGTCTTACTTGTACTTGTACTTGTAGTTTACTTTGAGGCTTGGCTAGCGAGCTCATTCTATCACAAAATTAATGGCAATGGTGTTGTACTTGTAAGGTGGACACATCATTAATTTTTATGGAAGATGTTGATACTCGAATCCTATTGATAATAGCATTACTATTATTATCGTCACCTCACACTTTACGTAAAATTGAATTCTCAAGTACTTCTACATGACTAGTAAGAATAGTGAATCGTTCCCCGAGTGTCGGCGCTGTGCTACAGTAGTATTTCCATCTGATACGACCGGAGCGGAGCCTCTCCAGTCTTGCCTCAATGGTAGTTGAACTGACTCTGCTTTCGCCAACTGGTTTGTAAAATATTCTGAGAAGGTAGTTCGTCGACCATGCACGCGTGGCCTGCTGGCCGGGCGAAATGCCCGTGCTGTGCGAACGTGCTGGTGTTGCTGCTGAGCGCTATTGCGAGCGGTATCCGTGCTCAACAATCCAATGCTCAAGGTAGGATGCACAATAGTAGGATATTAGTTCTGCTGCAGCTTGCTCATATTCAAGATATCATCGAGAAAATAATTCATTACTGTCTTGTGCTGGTATTTCATTGGGAACTTTTAAATATGTGTACATATGCCGTCTGAAAAGTGTGCATGATGAAATATATAGCAGTGAGTGTTGCACATGCTGCAGCCCATGAACATGAACATGCATTTGCAAAAGTGCTCAGTAGTTAGATCCAGGGGCGTCGGAAGGTAATTTAGTGTGGTACGGTCAGCCATCTGAAGTACAATTTACTCGCGGGGGGGAGGGGTGGCTGAGATGAAAATGTTGGCAATTTAGAACCCAAATCAGTGTATTATACTGATTCAAGGGGTTCCTAAGCCAAAACGTGTTAGGGTCAATACCGTAGTGACCATGCCGTGTCCAACGCCCCTGAGATTAATCCATTTCCGAGTACTGTCGGGCGCCGAAGAACGATGCGCCAAAGAACGAACAGGCTGGAATTTTACCATGCACAGGACACATGTGTATACACGGTGGCTCGGCCATACTCGAATAAAGAATTCCACATGAGAACAAATGAACGGCCAAGGCTACAACTCTGAACCCCAGTTCTCCGGCACAAGGCAGTACTGCGATGGCATACTGTACACTCGTACTGGGTGTTTGTGACGAGAACACTCGCACCATAGCAGCACGAGATTCACAACGTTGTGAAAGGACCTTTCTTGTTCTGAACTGCCTCTGTACAGATTATTCAGTTCATAACTGCATTAGCGCCGAGAGGTTATGGGCTTCGCAGATCCAACAAGCCACTCAAATAGATGGGGGAACTTTGGGATAGAATAAAATCTTCAAAACCTGTAGTCTTCTGAGAGCTAAGCTGAATCATCTCGGTCTGAAGAGACTACGGTGCAATTTTCATCCAATATTCCCAATAATGTGATGGAGTAACACATCACAAGTTCATACTGTTATGGTTTGCACCGGCTTGGGCGCATGCTTGGGCGCATGTGACAAGCTCAGCGGTGGCATGCCAGACTCAGTGGTTGCAGGCATAGCTGGTGGGACTGTTATTGATGCTGCGGCATGTGAGTCGGGTGTTTCCTCACACACGGCGTTAGCTGGTTCTGCGCTGCTGACAGGTTGGCCCACTAGCTTGGATGTCTCGACGATGATTCCATCTTCCCTTCTCTCGGTAATCAGGAAGGTTGAATGGCCTAGGTGCAGCTGATCAATGTGACCTTTCCAGGTAGCACCCTCCATTGTCTTCACCAGTTAGTGCGGAGGTCCTTCCACTGACAGGACTTTCCCCGGGAGCACACTGGGGTGGATCTGGTTGCGGTAATCCTGAGCAATGGCGGAGTCACCAGGCTGAAAGCAGCAACGGTGGCACAGGTATTATGAGATACCAGTGGCTTGGTGATCTTGTTGCCTACTGATGTGGCCCTATCAATCTGGCCAGAGAAGGTCGAGTTGAGTACGGAGGAGACAACCCAAAAGGAGCTTTGCTGGGGACTCGGAAATTGTTGGATGTGGACAGGTCCGTTGGGTGAGAATGAATCTGTCAGCTGCCTCTTGTGCTGGGGTAGAAGCAGTAGCGGCATTGACTGCACGCTTGAATGCCTGGACAAACCGGTCTGCTTGGCCATTGGTGGCAGTATGATACGGAGGAGATCTGCGGTGAGTGATACTGGACACGGTTAGCATTTTACCGTTCACGCTAACTCCGGCCGTTGACCTGTACCGTTTTTTGTCTGTTTTGAAGACCTGGTTAGCATTTCGGTTTCTGACACCGCGATCGACATGTGACGTAACCCTAGTTGGAATCTTACCGTTTCGTTCTCCCGCTAAACAAAAGCTTTCTATCGTTGAAGCGATACCAAACCGACGGCATTTTGAGTGTTCGGTACAAGTACCGTGGGATTTCGCGTGAACAGTAAAATGCTAACCATGTCTACTATACGTCGCCGCGGTTCTTCGCCCATGCCTTACCGTCATGAAACAGCAGTGACTCTCTTGCATGTCTGATGACACGCCTCTCCTGGTCCGTCACTGTGGTATGTCGTGATGCAAGGTCAAGCGCTTCCTCTAGAAGCTGCTCAGAAATCGACGGATAGAATTCGACTACATCGAAGCAGAGAAATGTACACTCATGCTTTCTGTCAATGCCCCTGAACCATTCAATGACTGCCGCAGTATTCTTCCATAATTTAACACCAGTTCCAGCACACAGTGCACTCATGAGTCTCTCCAGCATGGCTTTGCTTACTCTTCCCAATTCCGACTTGGCCGGGTCGATCAGCCGACAGGGTAAGTCGTTAGCGAACCGGTCCTTATGGTCCTTGAGTGTAACAAAAGCATCGGCCTGTGCCATAACTTCCACGCGGTCGGCAATATCGAGGCCACGGGCGATCTCCTTGGCTTCCAAGTTGATGTCTCTGTAGGCATCAACTGGGGCGTGCTTGTAATTCCTCGTGATGAGTCACTGCTGTTTCATGACGGTAAGGAATGGGCGAAGAACTGCGGCGACGGTCTGTTCGACGTCACTATGGGATTGTATGATGGTGCGGAAGTCTGCGAGTTGGTGGGGGTGCTGGTCCTAGACAAACTTGCGGAGATTATTGATAGGAGCGGCATTGGATTATACCA